CGACAGACTCCCGCGACGTCCTGGTCGTTATCACCCTCCCATCTCTCCCTGGAAGGCAAACGTATACAGTCGGGGCGTTGACCTAAGGAACCCTACATAAGGAACGAGGCCCCTTTTTCCCATGAGATAAACTTCGACTCCCCAGGGAAGCCCTGGGGAACACCCGAGGCAAACTGTAAAACAATCAAGGAACGCCGAGCCCCTCCCCAACGACAAGGGATCCTTCTTGAGCGCCCCGACTGAAAAAAGAGAGAGAGAGAGAGAGACAGAAAACAACGGCTGCCGCAGCAACCGGCAAAGGCTGGCGACCGCACCAAAACCCTCCCGCCCTCTGAGGAAGCACAAGTCATGGCACAAGCATTGAAGCTCTCGGAGGTCCGCGCGGGTTGCCAACGCCGATCCGAGAAATCCGCGCGGACCTCCGAAAATCTGAAATGATGTTTCTGTTTGTCGTTTTTGTTATAATGTGTTCTTTGTTGTGGTTTTAAACTGTTCAAAAAATCTATAATTATGTCATGGCTCGTTCCCCGAGCGAAGGCGGGCGACCGTGTCACAGCCCCCTCCAGGCCTCCCAAGTGGGTTCCGAGCAGATGGGGTCTGACGATTGATGCATCGCTGATGCATCGACAGCACATCGGCGATGAATCGGCGACGGCGGCGACGCCGCGGCGTGGACAACATCGGGATCCTCATCGAGCCGCGCCGGCGATGTCTTGGCGATGCGGCGCGGTCCTCCGACCCCAGCTGCTTGGGGCCCACTGGGGAGGCCTACAGTCCAGACCCCCGACGTCGTTCCCCGATCAATGGTTGCACTGAAGGGGTCCCAGCGGAACCTGAAAGATTTGGCGAAAGTTTCCCGCCGATGTTGGTAGCAGGCTGGGTTCCCGGGTTCCCGGTTCGGGCTTCCGGTTATTGGTTCCGCGGGCCGATTTCGGTGGGTTCTGGGTTCCCGGGCTCCCGGGTTCCTGGTCGATCTCCTCAGCGAGCCACCCACTGATTGGGGCTTTTCTCTGTTGTAACGTACCCAAACCCCCGACGTCGTGATTTTTTCACAACGTCGACCCCCAAAGGTCTGGACCCCTTCCCCGGGACCGGCTTTGCATCCCGAGTCGTTTTTTGACGGTCCCGAGGCCCGGTGAGGGCCCCCGGAGGCAGAAAATAACGAAAAACCTCCCGTCGTGATTTTTTCACGACGCCAGGAGGTCTGGGTATGCTTCACAACGCCCACACCCCGAAGGGTCTCGACCCGTTTCCCAGGACCGGCGGCTCTTCATCCCGAAGCGTTTCCTGGCGGCTCCAGGGCGCGGCCGGGGCCCCGAGAGTCCGAAGATAGAGAACAAGTCCTCCGCCGTGATGTCTTGTCATGTTTTCAGCACAGGCACTTTTGGAGAGAGGGGAGGGAGAGAGAAGAGAGAGAGAGAGAGAGAGAGCGAGAGAGAGAGAGAGAGAGCGAAGAAAGAGAGCGAAGAGAGAGAGAGAGAGAGAGAGAGAGAGCGAAGAGAGAGAGAGAGAGGGAGAGCGAAGAAAGAGAGAGAGAGAGAGAGCGCGAGCGCGCCAACCTCCGAGTGACACTCGGACCACCAAGAACTTGCTGATGCTCCTGCCTCGGGGAGGGACAGAACCACCTTTGGTCAAACGTGGTTTCGTGACAACGACCTCGGGCCCAAACCTGGCGGGCGCAAGCCTCGAAAACGACAGCCGCGGCGCCCCCTATCGAGAACCGAAAACGGACCATTCATTGATCGACGTGTCAGGGTGGGAGTTCTGTCCACCCCCGCCCCGATTACCGTCGGGGGCGGCCAAGACGGGGGTGTCCGAGAGGGGGGGGGGGAAATCATAGCCGGCGGCATGTGCGCGGCCCAAGGGGGGGGCCAGGGACGCAGTGAAATAAGAAGAGGCGCCATGAAACCTGAGGAAAAATCATGGCCCGCGCCATGAAATCCACACCTCCCTAGTCATCACCCCCCTCTTTGCCGCCCCCGATACCGCCGTGTGCTGTCACCATGGCTCGAGGGGATCCCGCCCGCCCGGGTTCCGCGCTGAGGCCCAAGCCATCAGATCCTGCGGCCCCGCGGGGGGGGGGGGGGCGCCGCCGGCAGGCCGGGCGAGGCGGGGCGGAGAAACCCCCGATCGGCGGCACCGCGCTGCTCGTGCGCAGCGCGACTCCTCCTCTCCTCCCCCTCCTCCTCCTCCTCCTCCTCCTCCTCCTCCTCCCCTACTCCTCGAGCGTACATCCACCCTCCTCCTCCTCCTCCTCCTCCTCCTCCTCCTACTCCTCCTCCTCCCCCCTCCTCCTCCTCCTCCTCCTCCTCCTCCTCCTCCCTGCCTCCTCCTCATCCTCCACCTCCTCCTCCGGCCTCCTCTCCCTCCTCCTCCTCCACCTCCTCCTCCTCCTCCCCACCCCTCCCCCCACCCTCCTCCTCCCCCTCCTACTCCTTCTCCTCCCCCGCCACGAAAGGAGATACATACAGACGCCCTCCGACGAACTCTGCACGTGCCTTCAAGGAGGGCGGCGGCGCAGAGGTCGCCAGCTATCGGTGGTGACTTGGACACTCCCCGGAGGCCCAGGAACAGTCCATTGGAATGTGTCTGTGTAGATGTTTTTGGGACGGACATCCTGCCACCCATGCGGGCAACTTCTATATCCTATATCCATATCCGGTGCGCCTGGGACTTTCTCGTATGGGGCGACGCAGGGCTGGGCGCATCGGACATGGATAAAATTCGAGCCTCTGGGGGTAGGATGTTTACCCATATCCAGTGTGCTCAGGTAATCTGGGAAAGGGAGTCCGAAACTCTGGACTGCAGCGGATATGGACGGAAGTATTGCTTATTGCCCGCAACAACCTCCTCCCCCCCAACCTCTGGGAAGCCTTTGTCGAAACGATGGAAGAACTCTGAAATCGATTAAGGGACCACGAAACGGGATCAGGCCGGATTGAGCTCAAGATCAAGCGGGATCAAACGGACCTGAGTCAGATCCAGCGGGATTGCGTAAGCGGCGGAATTACACTAGATTAGGCCCGCTTTCGACAAAGAATTGTCCTGTCTCAAGTCTGACCGGAACTTCTCTTTTTGCACACGGACAGAACACCTGGGCGACACAAACCGAAGGGAGGTGCCCAAGGTGCCTGCGTGAATTTACATGCAGTCGGACCTCGCAACAGAAACGGCAGCGCAGAGACCCGCCGTTGCGCAGTGCCTCGAGATGCCACCCCGAGACACGACCACCGGCACTACCCCCACTAGGCCGCCGGCCAAGACTACGGCGGGTTTGTGTCGTGACGTTGATCGTTCAACCTTGAACGATCGGCGGTTTATCGATTGCCATATCGTTCCATATTAGGACGATTCTGGGCCACTGGCGGCGTTCAACCTTGAACGCCCGCGGCGGGGTCGCGACGAGTCGACACGACGCGAACCTGCCGTAGAACCTTCCAAGGGTTGCATCCTGACCTCTCCTTCTCACTGCTCCTCCCGTTTCGGCGGAACCACGACGGGAGGCTCGTGTGGCGCATTCTTCGGCTTCCCTGGGGGCCCTCGCTGGCCCTCGCGGGGCCGTCGAATAAAATAGGACCCAGGACGCAGAGCGGAGCCCGGGGGGAGGAGGAGGAGGAGGAGGAGGAGGAGGAGGAGGAGGAGGAGGAGGAGGAGGAGGAGGAGGAGGAGGAGAGGAGGAGGAGGAGGAGGAGGAGGAGAGGAGGCGGCGGAGAGAGGGAGGAGGAGAGGAGGAGAAGGAGTAGAGGAGAAAAGGAGGAGGAGGAGCAGGAGGAGGAGGGAGGTAGGAGCGAGGAGGAGCTGTTTTCAGGAGGAGGGAGGGAGGAGGAGGGAAGCCCTCGCGCCCGCCGAGAAGCCTCCTCTGCGCCTTCCGCGGTGCCCCTCCTCGAGTTCTCTCGCCCACCTCTGTCTCTCTCTCTCGCCCTCCCCTCTCTCGCCCTCCTCTCTCGCGCCCTCCCCTCTCTCGCCCCCCTCCCTAGCTCTCTCGCCCTCCTCTCTCTCGCCCCCCTCTTCCGCAGGTGCCCCCGGCTGTTGGTCAGCGACGGATGCCACTCCTCGTTCACTTCGTATCAAGAGAACGATCTGTGCCGGAGATCGTGCCGCACGGGGCGCGCGCGCGCTCCCGTGCGTGACAGGCAGCGCGCGCTGCTCGGGTTCCTTCAGCGTGCCGCGAGAGCAACATGCGCGCAGCGTCCCCACACAAACTTATCTACTTGCACGGCCGTGTGCATACAGTCCGGGCAATGCCACACGAAACCCTCGCAAGAAATCTAACCCTGACAACCCGCGAAAGAGGTGCACCTAAGGGGAAACCCGGAGCACCCTGAACGCGGCAGCTTCTTCCCCGGCTGCGAGAAGCCACCGCGCGGCGCGCGGAGCGAAGAACCCCAGGATACCCTGACGAAAAGCAGATGGTTTCTTGATGCGCGCTCCCACTGTACAATGAGGCGCACGCCTGGATATTATCAAAACTTGCCCTTGCTCAGATCTTCAACGGCCTTCTGTACGAAGGGGGAGTTTCACGATACGAACCGATATGCAAAGGAGACAAGCTTTATGATTGGGCGGGAGGGCGGGACTGATGTGGCTTCCCCGAAGCAGCTGGACACGATTCGATGGCCGGAACCCGGGAACCTGATCGTCCACTGGAATCGGCCAGGAACTGTGCCAAACATCCACAACCCAATAATCTTATAGCCAGCCCGCCCACCCAAGTCGGCAGCACTACTGGGGGCACTTGGCAGCAAATTTCGCAACATCGTTGCAATACTGGGGGCACTTGGAACTGGGAACCCAGCCACCTACCGAAATCGGTATAGAATGCTCTTGAAGTCCTCAATTACAATCCCCGCGCAGATCTCTTCACTGCAAGGGCTGATGTGGAGAAACAGTGGAGAAGGAGAACCTGAGGTTGAGGATAAGGATGACAACGACGACGACAGGGAAAAAACAAGGGCAGGGGGCTGGGGAGAAAGAGCAGAACACAAGCCAGGTGGCGACTC